TAATGAATTCCATTCGTTGATGATTTATTGGAAGAGTTTTTAGTCAGCTGACATGTATCTTTTTCTGGACTCTTGACATTTTTTGGAGTGTTGTCATTTTAAAAAACACGAAAAATGAGGGATTGTCGAGTGCAAATTCACCACTAAGTAAATTAAAAACTGCTATTCAGTCAATCCTCGTTCTTTTAAACGATAGTTGGAACAGGTTTAGTTTAGTCAGTTTCCCTTCATGCAGTAGCTTTGCGTTTCGGAAATGAACTAAGATGTGGTTCTCTGATTTTAGTATCAACATGTTTAGAGGCTTTACATACTAATCATGGGGTTCCAAAACCTCTATTGGCTCTCCAACGACAGCGTGCAGTAGTTTTCAAGTCTTGACTAACGATGACTTGTGAGTCCTTGTTTGTCTAAACAACGGGTAGCTCAGTGTTATTCACCGTGAATTTATGCATCATAATGCACTTGGAAGAGTCTATTGGCGACCGGCAAATTTTGGACCACTCAGATATTTTCTGTAGGTCATTTTGAAGCTGAAAACTATCACTTTACTTTCCATCACTCTTTATATCTTTATATCATCAACATGTAACAAAACCCATTATGGTAGGAGATCAGAATGCTCATTTACGTACAGGCTCAAAAAATCAAATCCTGAAGTACTTCGCTAACCACAGTTACCCAACTAGGCAAACTGGAATCAATCCATACTTTTTGTTGGTGACCAACTTGAAAATCCTTTATCCACATAATTAAGTTGCTTCCGATCCCGATAACTTGGATAACATCCAATTGTGAGGATCTTTGTCGAAAGCCCTACTGAATTCAGTTTAGGCTGCATGTACAGGTAGCTTTTGAGGATCAAGAGCGTTTCAACTCTCACGAGTTACTAATAACCTGTTTTCAAACTGTTCTTCTCTTTATAGCAAACCTTGTTTCCACCTAGATACTTCAACAACCCCTTCTGAATAATCCTTCTAAAATTTTAACAATCACTCTGGTTAGGATTACGGAACAAGGAACCATCTTTACGTAGTGGACTAATTATATATATGCTTCATTCAATACCTGTTCAAATAGTTACTGATATTTTTGTCGAGTCGGCTTGTTATTCAACAACAGGACTGAACCTTCGCATGATTTCCTCCCTGACTATTTCACGCTGATGGTGTTTCGTAATTAGATTTTCGCCCTTTGCACACATGGGTCAATATTGATAGAAAGGGCACACACAACAATACATTGGTTATTTATTGCGCTATCTCCGTTGGCAATTTTATAGACCCTGGAGAATATATTGTGAACTTTTGGCTTTTGTTGTATTAACCCTTATGAGTTTAAACTTGTCTAATATCCATATTCAGCCACATCTCTGCTCATAATTCAGCCAATGAAAACTCTAGTAGACGTTGATGACGACTTTTATTTGTACAAACTATTTGAAATATCTTACAGCTTTCGGCGCATTCACAAGCAAATAGCATAACTCTCACTTCCACATTTTCATTATATATTGGATAAATTAATTGATTATAGTAGAAGATAATGTATTATATCAGTTGTAATGTTGAAGTTCGGCTTTTATTGGAGTTTTGGTATTTCTGACAACTGTGAGTGTGAATGATGTGAATAGCTGATTTATTTCACAATCATTCTTGTAAATCATGTTGATTGTATTGACAATTTGTTCTTACTAGGAACTGATAGGAAACTTTAGAGTTGTTTGAAAGAAGATAGACTATCCAGCGTTAGATATTGGTTGGAGGTAGTTGACAGGAGACCCTGGACCTAGGTTTCGTGCTACTTGGCACTCGTCAGTAAGGCGTAACTGTAATCTTGAGAGAACTGATGCTACCTGGCAGATTCGAATCCACCATATATCTCAACATGGTGCACACCATGTCAAGTCACCTCGACTGCGAGTCACATTGCAATGTAATTAACAGAATTCGATCTACACCTAGAAGGACCTAGCACACATGACATTAGTCATCATTCAGGTATCGATGTAGCATAAACAGTCGGTGTTAATTTAGGCTAGAAGTAGGCAGTTTGTACAAAAATCAGCTGATTGGCTACATTTACGCTATAGACGAGAGTTGAGCAAAGTAGACTATTTTGTGTTAATTTAAATTAAGCAAAAATTAAGATGTTAAGTTTGAAACGTTTTTTCTCAGTGGGAGAATTTAAAGCATAATCAGAATCTTTTGCTCCTGACTGGAGAAAAAGGCGGAAACTTGGTGTATTGTTGCCTATGTTCACATCGATCTTTCTTAAAGATTTTTCTCGATATTTCCCTAAAGTTGAGCTTTATTTCTCTTATTTGTTTGCTTTCTGTTGCCGAATATAATGCGTTTTATTCCACAATGTCATATTTGATAGCGTCACTGATCAATGGCTACAAATGTCTGTCGGAAAAATTCACATCATCTTTTCTTAACTCCCTTCTAAAACCATCAGAAGTATATAAATACAGCTTTGACAAGTTACTAGAGCAGATAAAATGAAAAAGCAAATGACTGATCACCTGAAAACAAAGCTCAAAACATATGCAGTTTGTGCAGCATCTGGTTCAGTACTAAAATATCCAACGTAACTTCAACTTAAAAATCCATTGAGGTGCTACAAAACCATACGCCTATATCCTTTGAGATATTGTCCAGATTCTAAGTTGCGTTTGACTGACTGAATGACTGACTGGCTAGTTGTGTAGATTTCCTCCACCTCTGAACTCATAGCCCATTACAGAACACAAACTTTTCTAACAGAGTAAAAGAGAAAGTCATTTTCTCCCCTCGATTTCCAAAGTCATTACCAATCCAACAGGTCGTCTTATTGTGTCACGTATAAATTTCTTATAACACACACGTCACTCGATTCTGTACACTTATGTTTGTTCTTTTCAAGTGTTTGCAAGTTGACGTTAAGTGTTTTTATATCTGCTTATGCATGCACGTTTATCTATCTTTATTTATAAGTTACTTAGTTGCCTATCTATGTGCATGTATTGGATACATCTTTTATCCAATATAAATATAATTAACCCTTGACTAACTGAGTTTTGTTTTCGGTTAACAATAATCAAAGACCATACTAAATTGGTTTGTTAGTCTGTCCTTTGTCCTTGTCTGTTCTTTTGAACATGGATGTCTGAAATAAAATTCGTCTCACTTAATTTGTATCGGAATTTTATTGCTAAAGTCTCTTAATAAGGTCAGTCAAAGTATAATACATGGAATTAAAAGAGAGATTTCTATTCCATGGTTCATTTGTCATCGTCTATAGTGAAGTAGGTCCGTTGCTAAAGCTTTCATATTGTAAAAGGTTATAGAAAGTTTGGTTGACGATTGCATGGTACAGTATATAATCGGGATGAATATCTCTCACATGGTTTAATATCTTTCGTTCAGAGAAAGTTAGGTTGTCTCGAATATTTTGTCAGTTTGGGATAAATTTATATACTACTGAAATTATAAAGTTTTCACTTATGTTCTATTCTTCGAGTGCACCAAAGCTTTAGACATCAGGTCAATGAAATATGGTGGATACATTTTAAAGACTTGCTTCTTTCTTGGCTGAAAGCCACCAAATGCCCTGGTATGGCCGAGAGTGGGGCGGGTTCGCTCTCCCTCTCGAAATGCTCGCACACGGCCACGCGTATACAGCCTCTGCCAGGGAAGTCCTACTCACTGCCTTCTCGTGGCATTACTGTTGTTTACGAAATTGAGAGGACGAAAAGCGAACGCCCGACGCTTTAACCGGGTTGGTGGACATGGAGAGTTCACCTAGGGATGTTGGAAAACCCTCATTCAAACCAATGGTGCACATGAGCTCCAGTATCCTGCCGGAACAAATGGTGTATGAACGAATCGTTGATCACCGACTACTATGGGACTGCATCTCCTTACGATGCTACACTGCCTTGTGGGTCAAACCTTTAGGTCAAAGGCTCGGGGTGTGGCTCCCTATGAAAACCACCTGCTCCGGTCTGGGCACCCGAGTAGTATCACAGCCCACACACACAAATATGGTGTGACGCATATATATTTGGTGCCCTCTTGTACCAATATTTATGTGTTCAAATAAATAAAATAAATGGCTGAAAGCCTATTGTGATAGTAATTACAGTCACTGATTTCATATTTATATGTATGACTTTAAATTGTAAAGGATTCTCAAATTATCTTGAAACAAATTTGATAGCATAGGGGAAATAAGCGAATGGGGAACTGTACTGAAATATATTCTTTTACTTCATGAATAGTAACAGACTGCTTACAACTAGTCTCATAGGTAGAGGATATGCTTTACATATTTTTCGTCAGAGATAGTTGTCAAACTTCTTTGTGTTACTTTGTTATGTTGATCTCTGAAATTCATGATATGCAAGACGTCCCTACAACTTCATGTTGTGAGTAACAGTATTTTTACACATTCTATGCTGAAAAGTAAATCACTTGGGGAGAGTGCTATGTTTTTTTTATAACGAAATGAATTCATTCTTAAGTACAGAACTGTATGGAAATCACTGTTCTAAACTAATCTTGATTATCTACAAAAGAGAAATAGCAAAACCATATCATAATTTACAATAGATTAAGTAACATAAATCATCCTAACAAAGTGATACTATCACAGAGTTAACAATAAAGATTTACCAGTTTAGGTGTTGTGGAGATTGTTAAGTTTCTGATTGAAATCATGAGTCAATTGAAGCTAGACCACCATGTCAAACCTGGGAGTACTGGACGGCCGTTTCGTCCTATTGTAAGACTCCTCAGCAGTGCGCATCCACGACCGCGCACCTCGCGAGATTTGAACCCAGGACTGGTCAGTCTCATGCCAGACACTTAACCAACTTTACAGCTGACCAACCCAAGATAGATTAGTATAAATAATAATCCAGAATAATTTTCTTGTTACATCTTAATTATAACTTTCTACTTTACTTTCATAATCTCCTTATTACAATTGCCTTTTTCTTCCACAGAATAATCTTGAACATGTCGGCAGTATATAAAAAAAGTCGAAAACTTCCTAAAAATACATTAATGATACGTAGACGTGTTTCAAGTTCATTCTCTAAAAAATCTGATTCAGAAAAACGTTTATCAAGAGCAACTATTCGTTTAATTGATGAATCTGGTATAGATTTAACACCATTACCATTATTAAGTGAAGAGAAACGTATTCATGATGATAAAGATACTATGGTTAGTTTATAAATGTTTATATTTATAATCATCTTTAATTTAAGAGTGCTGATATCTCTCAATCTTCAAATCTTGGTGGAAGTAGTTTACATATTACAAATCCTTTTACATTTACACGATCATATATAAGTGGATCAAGTCCAACTGGTGAATCACATTCAGAGACTAGTGAAGAACATGATCGTTATCAAACATTTACGGGTAATTATATTACTTTAAATAAAATTTTCGTTGAATCAATATTTAGAAAATAATGATTTTAATAGTTGAATTCATGAGTCCATTGAAGATAGATCACTATGGAAAACTTAACAGTACTGGATGACTGCTTTGTCCAAGTATGAGACTTCTCAGCTGTGCACATTCATGGGGGGGGAGTTAAAAAACCTTGATTCCAAATCAATGATGTATATGGACTCCAGGATCCTGAAGGAACAAATGGTATATAAACCTATTATTAGTCACTGGCTACCATGAGACTGTATCTCCTTACGTTACTCTACTGCGTTGTGGATTAGACTTTTAGATGAAAAGCTCGGAGTATGACCCTTCTAAGAAAACCACCTGCTTCGATTTTGGGATCCGGACAGTATGACAGACCCACACAGAAATCAAGTGACTTGTGTGGCACATATGTATTCGGTACCCCTTTGTATCAATATTTATCTGTTCAAATAAATAAATGCAATCTTCACAAATTCCCATACTATTGTTTCCCCTTTTGTGCCAGATCCCATATAAATTCAGTAAATAATTAATGTATACTTAAGACAAAACGTAATCCATATGACCGATGCAAATTCTTTCAAAGTTTCATATATTAGATATAAAATACTTTATTAGTATGGGGTTGTAAAGATTGATTAAGATCATGAACTGATTGATGTTAGATCATCATTGAAAACTTGGAAGCACTTAGTAGGACGAAACGGCCGTCCAATACTTTCAGGTTTTCAATGGTGGTTTCGCATCAATCGGTTCATGATCTCAAATGCAAATACTTTTGAAAAAGCCTGAGATCAGGGTTTTAATTTTCCGACTATTTTTTTTATCATTCAAACTGCATCTATTTTGATAGTCGATAGAACTCAGATGTAGTTGATTGATTAAGATACTAAGCATTTACAAGATACAATGCCATTTTGCTTATTTCACTGATGATCAAGTTAAATGTTTAAAATAACCTTTGCATACAAACCATGATTTGTAAGCAAAGATGGATAATGGCTAGTAGTGGAATCCTGTTTGATGCTTGTTTCATCCTATTTGGGACTGGTCAGCTGGATTCACCTGCATCCCACAGCTGGTGTTCACTCCATGAAGGACTCGAACCCAATACCGTTCGCTTCAAACACCATTGCCTGATCCACTTATCCACCGAGTCCTGATAGCCAACAGCTTGTACAATGAAGTGAAGTTTTAAATTCACTTGTTATTGTTGTTTAGGATTACAACTGATCAGATTGTTATTATTGGCATATATGCATCCTGTGCGTATTGCCTTGATATTCTCTTAAGTCACAAGCATTATAAGCAAAGATGGATAATGGCTAGTAGTAGAATCCTGTTTGATGCTTGTTTCATCCTATTTGGACCTCCTCAGCTGGGTGTTCACTCCAGGATTCGAATCCAGTAGTCAAGTGGATTACTCAATGGAGTTGGCATAGCAACTATAGTTGATAGTTTAGTGAAACATCTAAGAATTTCTTCAATTATTGTTTTTATTATTATTTTATTAGAAGTTAAAACACTTATACAACCAAATCAAGAAAGTTTAACTGAAATTGATTTAAACAAATTAATCAATATAATTATTGCTGAAACAGAAACATTTTGGATATTTGATCAACCGCCAAAATTTATTCCTGAAGATTCAATTCATTTAGAAGAACAATTAAAACAAAATGAAATTTATAAAACAGTTGAGTATTTGAAATTAGTTTTCCTCCTTTATTGTTTTCTTTTACTATCTTATTATGTTTAATATTAGACATCAACACCATTGGATGTTAGCCGGCTCAATCGACTAGTGGTAAAGCGCATGCGTGCGAGACAGATAGGTTCTGGGTTCGTGTCTTGTATCTGAGATCGTGGATGTGCACCGCTGAGGAGTTCCATAATAGGACGAAACGGCTGTCCAGTACTTTCAGGTTTTCCATGCTGATCTAGCTTTAATTAACTCATGAGGTCAACTATTAAATTACTATAACATCCCCAAAATACCCTTCTTTGATTATAATCATCATATGCTGAGTAGTGACGGTCTCCAAGAATTGTTTCCTGGAGTTATAGTAAGAAGCAGTGGCCGTTGGAGTTCAACCGCGTCTGTTGTGAGTTGGTAACTCATTGAACACAGTGGTGGATGTTTCGCTTAGTTTCGGGGATTAATTGTAGTTCGACATGGCTCAGTGGTCTGGTGGTGATGCGCTTACGCACGAGACTGATAGGTTCCGGGTTCGAGTGTTGTATGTGGGGTTATGGATGTGCACTACTGAGGAGTCCCATAATAGGACGAAACGGCCATCCATGATGGTCTAGCTTCAATTGACTCATGATCTCAACTATTAAAATTTGAATAATCCTAAGGTAAGCGTTGATGATGTAGTCTATGATAACAATGAGACCATTTGTGATTAAACTAACCAGCTTATAAAACATAACACCAATAAGTTGAGTGAATGGGAATAAAATTACAATGTACATTACTATTTTGTACACAGCGTGAATGACATAGCTAATTCAGCCTAATGTTTCTTAAGTAGAAAACTTGACCAAAATTAAACAACACTTAAAACCTATCAATCCAGTATAACACACATTGAAATGTTGAAGAAATAATGCTAAAATTGAAAAAAAAACAGAACAAAATACGATGAATTTTGTCCATAAATGTAGAATTGGTTAGTTGCAGTATTCTTGATAGAAAAATGATTACAAGTAATTGATTCAGATCATGAACCGACTGATGTTAGACCACCATTGAAAACCTGGTAGCACTGGACGGCCGTTCCGTCCCATTGTGGTACTCTTCAACAGGGCGCATCCACGATCCCGTTCGCGAGATTCCAACCCAGAGCCTCCAGTCTCGCGCGCGAACGCTTAACCTAATAAACCACTGAGCCGGCCGAGCTCCAACGGTGTTAATGTCTAACCTCAACCAATCCACAAAATTGCGCGGCCATCTTCAGTTGTACTGAGGTAGACACCTGTTTCTACCCGACACGGATTAGCTCCACTGGTCACGGCTTCTCACCAGAACTACGAGAATTTTCTCACGAAACTAGTCACTAGTGAGCACATGGTAATTACAAGTAACTTAAACTACTGTTTATAAGCAAGTAGTATAACATATAACACAAAGAAAGTTCAAACAAAGGAGAAATGAAATTGTATGACATTCTAAAATAACCAAAATAACTATTCAGTACTTAATGATCAATTATACTCCTCTTTTTGATTTCTGCTTGAAATATACTCAGTCAGTCAGTAAGTCAGTAACAACGTAGAACTTCGTACGTACGTACATCAGTTCGAGTTGACATACCACATTAGCACGGAGATGCAGTTGTCGATTCAAATCCCGTAGTGGTAGAGGTAGTAAGAATATAAGCAGTAATCGGAAAGGTTAGGATTTGCAGATGTTATTTAAAGAGTATAATCCAGTGAAATAAATTTGGGAAGAGGAAAAAGAAGGGGATATAAAGAATTCAGAAGATTATAATTTGGGAGAACACAAAGAGTGGATGCACCTGCTTACACCATTGCAAACAATTTTGAGCCATGTTATCTAGGGTCTCTAACCATCGGTTGCTATCATCTCACGGTTAATGTACTTCTTTGGTACTCCTTTCAGTGACAAACACTGCCATAGAACCTTACGATCAACAGAATCGAATGTTGCCTTAAGGTCGAAAAATACTACGATTGTGGGGCGTCTGAATGTGTGTCTGTGTTCGAGAACCTGACGTAGTGTGAATATCTGGTCTGACACTTAAAATAATCTAAGTTTATAAAACGATTCCTTTTTTTGAAGAGTTCAGATTTTCTTAATCTTAATACTAAAAATCAAATCGGATCTATTTCTTCTTGGATATGAATATGCTGAACAAATTGTCTCGATATTACCATTAAGTCTTAAATGTTCAAATAAGTTTGGATCACATTCATCATTCGAAACCAGGAAGATCAATTCGTCCGACGTTACTTTAAAAAGAATTGCAATTGAATGACTAGATCAAAGTCATCTATCTTGGATAGACATATGCTAAAATAGACTGATCCAAATAGAACCCTTATCATTTAAAAAAAGGGAATATTCTAACCTTTAGGAATCAATAATACGAATCTAATGTTCGGATGAACTCAGTGTATGACGTTGAGATTTTTAAACAAGAAGTATTGGGTTCGAGTCCCCGTATGAATATTACCACTGGGATGAAAGTATATCCAGTTGATTATTCCTATCTAGTACGAGATAACATACTGGATTCCAATGTTAGACACTACTCAACCCTATATGATAATTAAATCATATTGTATCTCCTCATTGTTGTTTAAGATTACAATTGATCAGATTGTTATTATTGGTATATGTGCATAATGTGTATATTGCCTCGATATTGTCTTAAGTCACAAGCATTATAAGCAAAGATGAATAGTGACTAGTAGTGGAATCCAGTTTGACGCGCGTTTCAACCTATCTGATCATCTGGATGAACTTGGATCTCAGAGTTGATGTTCACTTCAGAAATCGAAACCAGTAGCCAAGTGGATAACGCAATGGCGTTTACATAGCAACTGTAGTTTAGTGAAAAATCTTTAAAATTCTTTAATAACCAACCTTATTTAATAAATTTGTGCTTTATTATTGTTTTATTAGAAGTGGAATAAAACACAATCATTTATGATAGATATGAAATCGATTTTCAATAACTTGAAACTAATTAAACCAATCACTGGTATTCATTTCACAATTGGACACGATGTCGAGTCACTTAGATCAATGACCACATTGGAATTTGGTCGATAACATTCGATTCACACTAAGAAGGACCTGACACACGTGACACTGATCATCATACAGTGGTCAATCCATTGTGAATACATCTCAATCTTACTAGAGGCCAGTCGCGGTCCGGATAGCCCAGTGGTAACGTCTCTGACTATGAAGCTGGATGACATGGAATTTAATCCATCGGGGAGCGTCAGTTCCTTCAAGAATACCGGTACACCTTGCTGATGAATGCCAAATAGCACAAAACCTATGTCTAGGGCTTCCTGTCGACTAAATCCAACCACCATCTTATTTCAACATAGTGTACACAATGTCGAGTCACCTAAACTAATGACCACAATGCAACTTAATCGATACCATTCGATTTACGCTAAGAAGGATATGACACATGACATTAATCATCACTTAGTGATCAATCAATTAGGAGGATATTGAATTGAATGTATTGTTAGTGAAGATGAACCTGTTAGATTGGTTTCCATGAATAAATATTTATCGACGAGACTCTAATTTATGGACGATCTTTGAATGAGTCTTAAGTGACCTTGAGTAGTATTAGTCAATCGGCAAACAGTCAGTATAGAGTAAAAATATGTTATACAAAACCAAGGAAATAAAGTGGATACACTTCTTATACGTGGTTCAAAAACTTGTCAAGATTAGAAAGAGGTTCAGAGGTTCTAAAATTGTAATGCATGCAGTAGAGGAAATCACCCATACGGCTACAGAATAGTCGGCCTCTGGAGTCATGATAAAGTCTCAAAAACTCTTTCAGCCGCGACCATATGCCTTCAATATCGTTTGTATGCATTGTGGTTGTTGGGTCCACAAAATGCCACTTGTGGATAACGACAACATGCACATAACCAAGCCTATGTAGGCATCTGTATGCTCTCCAAACATCCGTATAAATAGTAATACCTGGCTGCAGCCAGTGTTACTGGTGCTTTTATGATCCAATTCGCAATGATTGTCAAAATTTGCCTTAGTTAGGAATTATATATGCGGTTTTCATCACGAACTGACATCAGCTATAATGCCAGAAATCTATTTCACCAAATGGATGAAAGGCTTTCGCGTCAAAATGTGAGATCTATTATCTTATACCTGAATGATTCGTCCACAAATTATAGTCCCGCCGTTTTATTTGTTATAGCCGCTCAATTATCATGTTTTGTACAGAATTCCCAATGAACCGATCGTACGTTAACATTAAGCACTGAAGTTGGTGCCGTAAGCTTGAACTCCCTCAAAACGCTTTTGATTGGCTCATTCATAAATTACAGTCTCGTTGATTTACCTGATTAAGAAAGATATTTTATTGGTACAGTTAGCAACTACATAGTTTCATTAGAATTTCTTAAAAAATGTTTTACTAAGGTATTTCTAATCTATTTAATAGTTGATCACATCAAAAATTGGTAATGATCGATTTATTGAACGAGGTATGAATACATTCAATTTACCATTAATGAATAAATTCATTCAAACGGATTATATCAAGTTACAAGATAAATCATGTATGGCTAGTAATTGGGATATAATCGATACATATGAGAAAGAAAAAGAAGAAGAAGAAACAAGAAGAAATTTGTTAACAGGTAACAATCACTTTGTAGGATTTCCTCTTTTTTTTCTTGAATGAATCTATGAACAAGATCATTCTTTGTTCTCGTTCTTCGATCTTCTTAACCTTCTGTCTCTAGGTATTTCAGTTTCGGTTGATGATATATACTACTTATATCTACCAATCGATATCGGTAGCATGCACCACACTTGTCCCCTCTTTAAGGTAGTCGTTCGTATGGTGGTTCTACTCGCCGTGCTACGTTCTTCTTCACTGAGGTATGTGCCATGCTCTCAATCAAAATGTCGAGTCTACGGCGCGTTGACCTTCATAGCTCCGTTATCCTTCCAGTACATTAAAATCCGATGTACGCCCAACACCCGGGACGTTAAACACTTGAGCTCCATAGATCTGCTGAGCCATCTACATTCGAGGTCCGCCCAGAAGCCGCATCTCACAACTCTTCTCCGTCGACAACACTGGTTACAGCCAACACCGCGAGACAGAACACTTCATTTGACGTTATCTCGCACCAGACCACTCGAACTAGTACCTTGGATCCAGGTTCTCAACGGGACTCGCAGAACATTACCATCTCACCCTCCTGATTGTCGGCGACACCAAATGTAGTGAACGAGAACACCAGTGAGGACAATCGAATATATGTGATTATAAAACTACAGAACATCTTACTAAAATCTGAGAACCGTATAGTTAGTAATTCATTTGCAAATTCATAATCAATCGTCTCAGACTTCATTATTCCTGCATTTTCATAACAATTACTTTCTCTTCCTGTTCTTTTCTTTTTGATCTTCTGCTGTCAAACATCCTAATCTTGACTATCGTTACATACTATTCATTTCGATGTAAGTGGCATTGATTACACTAGTAAATAAGACACACAACATATTACCTAAAGATTACAAATATCAGAAAGGGTTTTGTGGAGATTGTAATAACTTCAATAGTTGAGATCATGAGTCAATTGAAGCTAGATCATTATGAAAAACCTGTAATCACTGGACGGCTGTTTTGGTCCTATTGTGGAACTCCTCAACAGTGCGCATTCAATGGTGTATGTACCGCTCAATTTCGTGAATTGATTAAAGTTAGACAATAATACCGTTGGATACCGGCCGACTCAGTGGTCTAGTGGTTAAGCGCTCACATGCGAGACTGATAGATCTTGGATTCAAGTCTCACAAGGTGGGGTCATGGATGCGCATAGCTGAGAAGTTCAACAATAGGACAAAACGGCCATCCAGTGCTTCTAGGTTTTCCACGATTGTTTAACTTCAATTGACTCATGATCTCAACTATTGAGATTACAGATATATTATTATTATTAGAGGCTTTATTCAACATTATATTTTTGGTACAACATAGAATTCTCAGCATAAAGTATTTCAACACGTTTCCATTTCTTATACCTTGATCTATTGTGACGATAAATTTTTTAATGATGACCAATTAGATGTTAGGAGTTCGATAATCCACATTTGATTAATGTTCATTCGTTTCAATGCATATTGCCAGCCACTATGATGTCGCTGATTGTACCATTTTGTATCCAGTATAGCGAAAGGTTGTAAACTTTTCATAAACGCGCCTGAATAGATTGATCGCACAATAGACATAGTGATGTGCTAAAACAAACAACAAAACAGATAACTTGATGAAATATCTAGATCGGAGGATATTTAAGCAGGCCGCCGGTAAGCTCTTGAAATATGATTAGGTATCATTGATGAAGAATAAATCACTTTGTTTTGTTTTAATAGTTTCAAAAAAGTTTATTTTTTTTCTTTTTATCTTTCAAATAACAATAAAGATAAGTCATATAGAAACAAAAATGGGATCAATTTAAACAAGAACAAACTTGACACATCAATAAAATCTGCATTGAATGATAAGAATATTCTATTACAATCAGATGATGGTGGACCATTAGAAAGTAATAATTCATTAATGAATAGTTTAATTAATGGGAAAACTAAAACAAGTCAAGAATTTGGATCAACACAATATGTAACAAGTAAGTGAGAGAAAAAAGAAATACTATACTGACATAATTCATTAAATTCAAGAGTAATGTTGAGATGAATCAATCTAAACCTGACCGTTGTTACTACCTTGATGTGGTGGTTAGGCTTGCCTATTGTGATGAAGCAATTGAGCTATACTGGCTGGAACAATCGTCCCTCAAAGTCCTACCATCCCAGACAGATTGATTGAAGAGCGGTAAGACTAAAAGCAACAAACCCAAGGTCCGAAGGCGAAGTCGTACTGCTGACTGTACAGAGGTGTGACAGTAGTAAGGTGTTTCCTTCAGACAACCAGCATGACAGCGATGATGCCTTCCCACAAGGAGGGGTGGGGTTAGAAAAGGTCCACCCCAAAAATGCATACCTCTTTTTATCCACGGATATCTGTCTCCGGCGGTAAGGTCTCAACAAGTACGAAGCTAACACAAAAATTACCCATAAAAAGGATGTGTGTGATCGACCTCAAGCAATTGTCCCTTGGGCACTGCAGTCACGCTTTCAGGTCACTAAGACCACTTCTAATCCGATTTCCTTTCCAGGTACCTCCAGAAGAACCCTTCCATGGTGTGGGCAACTAGGAAGTGATAACCGCCCTCATACCTCTAACAGAACTCAAGACCACTGAATCAATCTAAAAGACCGAATTAGAATGAAACTTATATTGTGAAAATTCTCATCTTAACATTTGGTAAATAAAAAAAGGAATGAATCAAGCGAAGAAATTTCTTTTTGCTTAGTTTTCCATCATTGTCATCATCATCATCAATGAGTTGCTGGTAGATACTGGGTTCGAATCTCGCGAGGCGGGGTCTTGGATGAGCACTGTTAATGAGTCCCACAATAAAACGAAACAGCCGTCCAATGCTTACAGGTCTTTCGTAGTGGTCTAGCTACAATCCCTTCTGAACTTACTAATGTTAAATATCGCTAATTTACACTGTAATTAATAGTTATGTAATCACGATAAGCTCTAATACTTGGTTTTTCATATATAAAAATCAAACTTCTTACCTTAAAATCTCTCGACCTTAGCTCCTAAATCCTAACTTTAACACTTTTGATCCAAAGATATTAACTTTCAAAACTCGTTTCACAATAAGGTTAATATATAATCCTTTTCGAAACATGAAATTTAGCGAAAATCATGTGTGTTTGTTATGTTTGAAACAATTACGAGTTCACTTAGTCTGCGAACGGAACAAAGACTTTGTGAGTAAATACCAATAAGCTAGCTATTCTGATGCATTCAAGCCCCGCTAACTAAAGAGAGAAGTCCAAGTTCAAAACGGGGAGATATACTCCACAATCAGCCAGAAGCACGAGCAAATAACAAATAGGCACAAATCAAACGTATATATATATACACCATAAAATTGTCCTTGGGAAGCATTACGAAAGAGCATACTAAAAGATACAACGAACCAATAGCGTTTAAGATTCTGTCAACTGGGAAATACTACGTGAAGGTGAAAATGAGCGCTTTTGGCGCGAAAACAAGAAACTCAATTCTTTAAGATAAATTTACAAAAGGCATTTAACAAGTGAGTTTTGGAGGATCTAACATCCTCAACAGTATTTAGCAACAAGCTATTCTGAACAGCATTTCAAATTCGTTCATTGGTTAGCATAATTTTGATTGGTTGTCAAACATTTCACTTCTACCTGAAGTTTGTGCTAATAATGATGTCATTCAGAAGAACAATGAAAGCTCCATAAACAAACCATCCAGTTCAGAGAAGAAAACTCCATCAAAATCATCTACATGAGTTACAAAACTTTTTCACCATCTTATAACAAGTTCCTTTCTCTGAACACGATAACATCTTGGACCGACGCCTGGTCCTACGTTGTAGCTGACTGACTGACAAACTTATCAAGTTTTTACACAACATCATATATACATATAATTACGGGAGACGTTTGAAACGCCCTATCTATCTTACTTATCAACATAGTTTATTTCTAGGGTATTTGACGTATTATCCTTAACCATTACCATCAATGATCTCTTAACTTATTATTGTTCATTTATAGATAATACAATGAATACGAATTCGGAATCAGATCTTACGTTAATTCATGACAATTCTATAACTCAACTCAATCAATTAACAAATGAATTAGGATTACTTGAGGTCAGTATTAAAAAATGTTTATTTTCCAACTTTTTGTTTTTCATAATCATGGATAATCTAATGTAAATACACAAGCAGGTGCCTATTAGGACTCATTAGCTAAGTGGGTAACACGATGACGTTTGAAACGAACGGTATTAGGTTGGAGTCTCTCCCCGAATGAACATCAACTCTGAGATCTAGGCACATCCAGCTGACCAGTTCCAAATAGGATGAAATGTGCCTCCTGTATTCTACTACTGGCCACTATCCACGTTTGCTTATAAGGCTTGTAACCTTAAGGCAATATCGAGGCAATACATATAGGATGAAAATATACCAACAAGAGACTGATCAATTTCAGTCTTAACACAACAATGGAAGGATACAAGTAAACACCACTAAGTGAATCTAATTTAAAAGTATTTACTTCCATCCGTTTTTAAATGCTGGAATGAGCAATGAAACAAGCTTTATGGACTAGCGTTTCATGGCTGTTAACTCTCGTTATCAATGTATATCTGAGCTCTATACAAAGATTTAATCTCAGTATAAAATACTAAAATTTATCAAATTAATATAGACTTATCATCACTCTAAATCAACTTCATTGACTACGAAAAAGCATTTGATAGCATGGACAGAACAACACTATGGAAGCTTCTTCGATACTACGGCGTGCCTCAGAAGATAGTCACTATCATACAGAATTCCTATGATGGATTACACTGCAAAATCGTGCATGGAGGACAGATCACACGTGTCAGGCAAGGTTGCTTACTCTCACCCTTTCTCTTTCTCCTGGTGATCGACTGGATCATGAAGACGTCAACATCTGAGGGGAAACACGGGACACAGTGGACAGCTGGGATGCAGCTGGACGATCTAAACTTCACAGATGATCTGGCACTTCTGTCGCACACGCAACAACAAATGCTGGGGAAGACGACTAGTGTAGCAACAGTCTCAGCAGCAGTAGGTCTCAATATACACAAAGGTAAAAGTGAGATTCTCCGATACAACACAGCATACACCAATCCAATCATAATTGACGGAGAAGCTTTGGAAGATGTAAAAACCTCTAAATATTTGGGCAGCATCATTGGTGAACACGGTGGATCTGATGCAGATGTGAAGACGCGGAACGGCAGAACAAGAACAGCATATTTACAACTGGAGAACATCTCTCAAATCATCTTTAAACTTCACTTAATCTTATAACATGAGACAACTGAGATAAAGCTAAACTCGGTCTTTGATTTACTTTGTGACATTGGCTCTCATGAAAAAAGATACATTCTCCGTAGAAAACTTAAAACTTTTTGCTAACATTAAAGAAGTATCAGATGTGTTGTATTACTTTAACACTCCATAATATGATACGAGTTCTGTCTTGTGATACATTTTGGTGCCAAATCAAGTCTTTAATGTTAATTGAATTCACTTGATAAAGATGCAATGGTACCGTTGAGCTAAGCAACTCGATATCACTTATTCGATCAGTTATACTCAACATTAGAGCCTGAGATGAATGTAAGGTAGTTCAAGTTACCAAATAATAGTAGCATGATGAGAATGCATGAATAAGATGAATGGCGAACGAATCGAAATAATGAGAAAAAAACTGAACACTGGAGAATATGGTTGAAGTAGTTGAAATAAAAAGATATATATGAAGAGATACTGGAAATTAAGATCTAGAGGGTGAATGCAACTGTGCCATTATGTGGTGGATTCTGATCCATGTTACATAACATTTCCGACTATTGATCATGATTATTGTACAAGCCTTAACATGGTAGTATATATCTATTAACATGGCTTGTACCAAGGACTGATAACGCATTTTATCTTGCCTGTTCCTAGCTTTCTGCTAACTCTTATGTCAACAAACGTCACTCCTCAAGGTAGACTGTGATCAATATAGTCGGTTTAGTGTATACTTACAAAAATCTGAGTATCATTCAGTAAATTCTTCATTCGTAGAATGTCATTCAATTGCCTCAGACTTCATTGTTCTTTCGTTTCCACACGAATCATTCTCTGTTCTCATTCTTTTCTCTTCGATCTTCTTAGCATTTTGTTGCCAGTCATTTTCAATTGATAATACATACTACTTATATCTGTCGATATCAGTAGCACATATCATAACTCGTTTAATTATATTCTAGAGTGAGGTATTTTCGAAACCATAACTTTAATATTATAATTAATGTATACTGATAGTCGTTGGTCCCTAAAATAAGCAAGTAAACCGGTTAAATTAAAAACAATATCTGTTTAAATGTCTCCCGAATTCCCTGATACGGTCGAGGGTAGGATGAGTAAGCTTTCCCTCTTGAAATACTCTTGTATTGCCACGTGCATACAACCACTAACAGGGGAGTCCTACTCACTGCCTTTTCGTAGCGAGAGTGTTGTTTACGAAATTGAGTGGACGAAAAGCAAGTGTCCGGCGCTTTAACCGACTTGATGAACACAAAGGGTCCACCTAGGGCTGTTGAAAAACCTTGATTCCAAACCAATAGTGTACATGGGTTCCAGGATCCTGAAGGAACAATTGATGCATCAACCAACCGTTGGTCACTGGCTACCATGGGACTACATCTCCTAATGTCGCTCCACTGCCTTGTGGATTAAACTTTTAGGTCGAAGACTCTGGGTATGACACCCTAAGCAAACCACCTGCTTCGGTTTGGGCATCCGGGCAGTATTCTAGCCTTCACATACATCGAATGATTTATGTGGTGCCTTCTTGTATCAATGTTTATGTCTTTAAATCAATAAAACTCAGAATTGTCACTTTTTAATATTTCACTATTGAAATTTACTTTGCTGATGTTTTCAGACCCCAAAAATGAAAAATGATTTGAATAATATGGAACGTGCATTAAATATCAATATATATCGTGATAAATTATTCAAATATCAAAGTTTATTATTAAAGGAATGTAAGTTTATCTTGAACATTTAATTGTCTACCATTTCAAATAGCATCTATGTGCATCTTGCGCGTATTACCTCGATATTTCCTTAAGTCACAAGTATTATGAACAAGGATGGAGGTTGGGTTACCGTGGAATTGAGGATGCATGTTTCGTCCTATTTTGGGACTCGTCAGTTGGATGTACCTTTACACAAGCAAATGGTTATCAAGACTCAGTAGCTAAGTGGATTATGCGATGGAATGTGAAGCGAACGATGTTGAATTCGAGTCTCAGAGTGAACATTCACTGTGGGGTGCAGGTACATCCAACTGTCCAGTCTCTAATACATTGAAATGCTTGTCCTGGATTCCACTCCTTGCCACTATCCATCTTTGCTTATAATATTATTACTAGTTTAAGGTAGAAGTAGGCAAATGTTTTGTTAAAAAAGTTCCATCAACACAGTATATCAGGCCTCATACATAAAATATTAATATACTTTTATGAATATACTGATATAAATCGTTTGATAAATGAAACTAACACTTGCAGACACGATCATCAGCGTAAAATAATGTTGTTTTATCAAGGAGATGAGTTCAACTATTCAAAGATTTTATTAATCTATATTTAGACATAAACATTAAAGGATACTGGCTCAGTGGTTTCGGAGTAAATCGTTCGCGCTCGAGACCAGTAGGTCCTGAGTTCGAATCCCGCGTACAGATTCGTGGGTGCGCACTATTGAAGACTTCCATACTATAATGAAACGTCCATCTAGTACTTTCAGGTTTCCCACGGTGGTCTAGCTTCCACTGACTCATGAATTCAACTATTAAATTACTCCAATCTTCCCAAATCTTCATTTAAAACAGAATATAATCTAGCTGAATGTAAGCCCCTACGTAGCTTATTTAATGAAAGATTTTCTAAGAATTTAATATAAATTAACATGTTTTTTTTATAGAACAATTTAAAGTTACGTAACTATCTACTTTTATTACTTACTTACTTACGCCTGTTACTCCTCGTTGAGGAGCATAGGCCGCTCACCAGCATTCTCCATCCAACCCTGTCCTAGGATATCCTTTCCAGTTCCTGTTGATCCTTTTCATATCTGTTTCTGTTTCCCGATGTAATGTGTTCTTTGGCCTTCCTCTTTTCCGCTTCCCTTCAGGATACTTACTTCTTAATGACCTTGTAAAACCTCATGTAATCATATTACGAGTCTTAATTAATCATTATGCCTTACATCTATGGAATTCAACATGAAAGGATTGCTCAAATATGTCTATACTGAACACTGTTTCTTAATAAATTAATCTCGGAGAATTTAACCTACAGTAGTGAGATAACTTTAGAGACTAGCATTCTGTGTTAGAAGATAACTAGATTCAATTCAGATGTCATTTGATTTTACTTATGCTCTAACTAATGGTTGGTAGTTTAGATATTCTATTCCCAAGAATTTCCTAAAACTAAAGTTATTTCATTAATCCCTATGTAGTGTACGAGAGTACAGGCTGGAACAATCATACAATAAATAATTCATTTGTAAAATGTCAAACAATTGTCTCACATTTCACTGTTCCTTCGTTTCCACACCAATCATTCTTTGTTATCGTTCTCTTCTCTTCGATTTTCTCAATATTCTTCCACTGGGTATTCTATTTTCGATTGATAATACATACTACTTATATCGGTCGATATCAGTGGCACACTTACTTATGCCTGTCACTCCCAATAGAGCATAGACCGCCATCCAACATTCTCCAACCTATTCTGTCATGGATCTTCCTTTCTAGTCCTATCCAATTGTTATTCATTCTTCTCATATCTGTCTCCATTTCACGGAGTAATGTGTTCTTTGGTCTTCCTCTCCTCTCTTGGCCTTGAGGATTCAATGTGAGAGCATGCCTTGTGACTCATTTTGGTGCTTTCCTCAATATGTGTCATATCCACTTCCAGAGCTTCCTCCTGATTTCTTTCTCCACTAAGATCTGGTTTCTTCTCTCCCATAGTAGGTTGTTGCTGATAGTGTCTAGCTTAACGGATCCGAAGTATTTTGTATAGACAACTGTTAATAAACACTTGTATCTTCTGTATGATGACTTTCATAGTTCTTCAAGTTTCCGCCTCATACAGTAAGACTGTCTTGATATTTGTATTGAACATTCTGACCTTAGTGTTGGTTGACAGACAATTGTTTTGAGTTCCAGTAGCATACATCACACCTAGATAATAGATATGTTTCAGAGTCTAATATACTATTGAATATAAATAAGTAATTTGTTGACAACTATACACATTTTAGGTCAATCTAATATAGATTCATGTCATACAATGAAACTTAGCCCTGAATTTACTCAAACATTAACAAATGATACATCAAATGATATTCATTTAACTGGACATGAATCATCTTTATCGAAAGTGTCAATGTCTACATTACCAATAACAATAATAAGTAATATGACAAGTGTAAATTCAACTAGATCTACTATAAATGATGATCATACCATAATAAGAACAAGTGAATTATCTACAAATAAACATAATATTAGTCCACAAATACCACATGTTATTCCATTATGGCGTTTTCAATGTTCAATGACTAAGGTAAGTAATGATAATTTATTGTTTATTCATTATAAATCTAAATGTGTTTGTTATAACTCAGTGAAGAATAAATGACGAGGAACTTCTGAGACCTGTTAATGGACTAATATTAAATATATATATTCCTACTGTATAACTGTTCAGTAATTAGATCAGGTATATCTATATTCCTCTTATTATAAGCTTCATCATAACCTATAGACTATTATTATACCATTTATTGTTCTTAAGTTATGCTCAGGTTTTGATTGAGATCATGAACCGATTGATGTTTCCTAAGGTGGTTTAACATCAATCAAAAACTTAATAATCTCCATAATCCCTATACTAGTAATCAACATGTGCTCACTAGTGACTAGCTTCGTGAGGGAATTCTCGGAGTTCCGGTGAGAAGCCGTGACCAGTGGAGCTTATCCATGTCGGGTAGAGATAGGTATCTACCTCAGTACAATGGCAGATGGTCGCACAATTTCGTGGATTGGTTAATGTTAGACAATATCACCATTGGATGCCGGCTCAGTGGTCCAGTTGGTTAAGCGTTCTTACGCGAGACTGAAGGCCCTGTGTTGGAATCCCGCGAGCAGGATCGTGGATGCGCACTGCTGAGGAGTACCACAATGGGACGTAACGGCCATCCAGTGCTTCCAGGTTTTCAATGGTGGTCTAACATCAATCAGTTCATGATCTCAATCAAAAACTTAATAATCTCCACAACCCCTATACTAGTATACTCAGTTTATTGATTACCGTCTCCCACATTCACAGCCAATGTTTGGCTTGATCTTTTACAAATGTTATTTCTTATTTTATAGTGTGATATGGTCTATTTAACTGGTATATAAACCAAGTATGTTTGAAATACATGATTTGCATAGTGGAAGCTGTTATTGATGTTCTGAACTCAATTGAACCGGACTAGGAGAAAAAAGGACCCATAAAGACAATAGGCTGCTCATATCGGTCGAACATCATTGTTCTAGCACAATACTAACATCGTATAACTCTCATTGTGATTGATAAATAAATCACGTGGTAAATAACTGGACATAAAGTCACAACAGTGTGATTTTCTGTAGTTAGATGCATAGAATTTCACAACACCTAACTCTTAAATAAACTATTTACGTATAGTGTAAAGATCGGAACCATATATATGAAAGTTCCTTGTCAAAATGTCAGTATCATAACTGATAAACAATAAATGTATAAACATAGTCAAACTGATTTAAATAACGATGTATAGTATGTGATGATGTTGGCGAGACTATACTTTATGGACGAACCAATCAGGTATAAGATAATACGTCTCCGATTTTGGCGCGAAATTCACCCCTCTATTTGGTTAAATAGACTTTTGGCATTATAGCTGATGTCAATTCATGATAAAAACCCTAAATCGAATTCTTAATTCTAACCATCAACTGTAAATCATAATTGTAATTCCTCACGCTGGTTTATAACCTTCATTTAGTCCTAGTTATCAGATGGACACTCTAAAGGTCACTTCAACGTCACTTGATGGTCGTCCATAAATTATACTCTCATCATGATATGTAAGTAACCATTCCCAATTGTTCAGTAATAACCCGAATTCCATTTCAGGAAGAAGCTTATTGCCTGTTAAACCCCTTTCAGAATATGTGTATATCATCTACTTTGATGATGATATTGTTGTTATTGATAGGCTCACCGCTTTTAGTAACCCTAAATCTGACTACAGTTGGATCGTATGGTGATCTTCATTGAATCAGACATTCCAACTGTCCTCGTACAATTCATCAATATAACTTGCGTTTATGAATAAAGGAATAAAATAAGTCAAATACGAGAAAGAATTTTTGATCAGAACATATAATCAGGGAAATGATGCGAAAGAAACGAACAGAAGAGTAATAGATGAAATGAATCGAAGAGAAGTCATGTGAACTAACTTGATTTAATCAAGCGTGACTCAATATTTATAGTTAGACCAAAAAGAATGTGATGAATGTAGCAAGCAACACACACACACACACACTATCATATAAAAGCAGCTCAAGAAGAATGAATAAATCGGTCTGTTCAGATGCTAGAATAACCTATATGGGCTTGACATAGGGCCAGACACTACAGGTTTCTTCAAGGTTCGAGATAATTTTGAAAAATCTTACACTGTTTAACATCATAGTCAGTAGTGAATGTTTATGAGAAGCGAAACTCAGTTGACAATACTAGTGAGACTATCATTTATCGACGACCATCAAGCGATGCTGAAGTGACCTTGAGAGTGTCTACCTAATAACTAGGACCAACTGAAGGTTATAAACCAGTGTGAGGAATTACAATTATGATTTTCAGTTGATGCTTAAAGTTTTTATCACCAATAATATCAAAACCCTTATTTAGCCAAATGGATGAATGAATTTCGCGCCAACATCGTAAACCTGTTATCTTACACCTGATTGGTCCGTTTATAAATTATAATCCCGCCATAATACTTCTTTTTGTTAGTACACATCATCTATATACTTTTTAACAAATTAGAAAATTAAATAAATAATTGATCACAGAACTTTCTAAACCTAAATGTTTAATCATATTTTGAAGAAATCTAATATTCACAATAGAAACTCTAATTGATATTGATATGATGAATGATGATCGAATCCGCCTCGGAGCACCTGTTCCCTCAAGATTACATGTACACCTTGCTGACAAGTGCCAAGTAGCACGAAACCCGGATCCAGGGTTTCCTGTTGACTACCTCCAACCACCATCTAATCTCAATATATAGTGCACGCATTGTCGAGTCACCTAGACTGGTGGCCACATTGCAACATGGTCGATAGCATTCGATCTGCACTAAACAAGGACTTGGTCACCACCCAGTGATCAATCAATTGTGAATGATGATATAAAAACATTTATACTGTACGGAGGTGAAACTTCGATAACTACCATAACCATCATCTAAAAGGTACAAGTATTTATAAACAATTGTCTACCGAAGACATTCAATGTTTGTTGACCGGATACTATCAGTAACAGTCTACTGTGGGAAAGAACAAACCAACTTCCAACTGAAGAGGAAATGAAGAAAAGACATTGGAAGTAGATAGGATACATAATGAGGAAATCATCACGAGGCTGATAAGTCTTGTTAATTTGAACGCTATATTCGTTTTCTAAGCTATTCTGTAACCTCCAAGTTAGAACTATACAGCAACCTGAACAACGAGAGAGAAGACGCTAAGTATGCGAGAAGTACTATACTCCAAGGTTCATTTTTGTACAGAAAAACACGGGTATTTATAGATGTTAACATTTTGTTAAATCAACATCATATTTTGGCCAATCCGCTAAAAGACATATTATGCTACTGACCAATAGTAGCACACCACGTTGACATTTTATAAAGCTCCATCATGCTCTGATTGGTTAGGACTCTTCGGCTCCTTTAGGGCCTCTGGAGGTTCCGTTGCACTTCTCGGAAAGCCGACTCAACAGAGGCAAGTGCTAACTTGGAATCTTGAAAGGAAACGAAAAAGAGTAAAGCCAAGGAACATACTGCATCAAGAATTGGAGACAGATATGAAAAGGATGAATCGCAACTAGAAAGATCTGGAAAGGATTGCCCAGGACAGAGTTGGATGGAGATTGCTGGTAAGCGGCCTATGCTCCTCCACGAGTGTTAACAGGCGTAAGTAAGTAAGAAATTTGGTATTTTCTTTAACTAAAATTAATTACTACATCAATGATCACTAACTATATTCTTTTCTTTAAAACAAACAAACAAATAAACAGGGTCATAATATATCAGATATGGCATGGAACAAACAAAATCCAAATATATTAGCTATTGGTTATGGACAATTTGATTATGATAATCAACAGAAAGGTTTAGTATGTTGTTGGTCATTAAAACTTATTGAATATCCTGAACGTTATTATGAAACACCAAGTAGTGTAACTGCTATTGGTTGGTCAAAAATTCATGCTAATTTATTAGCGGTAAGTTATAATTATCTTTTTTTCTTTTATATATTACTATCATTGAAGTAACTACTTCTATGAAGTCGATGTTGATGTTGTTGTACTAATGAGGTATGACAACTTGGATCGATGTACATATATGTGCTTGGTCCTATCTATATCGAAGCTGACTGATTGAATCTATCCCCCTCCACCTACGCCTACATGAACATCAATTAGCAGTCAAACGCCATGATATCTCTTCACTTATATCAATACACGTAGATAACTACGGACATTCATTCGATTGGGAAAATGTAGAAATCTTAGACAGAGGAAACTCCAAAAACACCAGAGAATTTTTAGAAGCTTGGCACTCAGGTCAATCAGCAATCAACAAACATATTGAAATCAATCCAATTTATCAACCAATCAGAAAAATCATGCACAAACATAAGAACAAAAATCAAACGAATGGGAGACACAACCAAAACAAAGAAGTAAACAATGATAAATTTAAGGTCAACAAGAACCAATCAACATCGAGGTGCACAGAACAAGCTGTGAAACACATATGGAGAAATTCCAACACTTCACTTCTATTTGAAGTTTGTGCTGATGATGTCGTTCAGAAGAACGATGAAAGCTCCACGACCAAACCATCCAGCTCAGAGAACAAAACACCACCAAAATCAATCCCAGAAATGACCATTTAAAATGTCATATAGTGTAGAACTAGTAATATAGATCTTAACTTATTATCATTTACAATGAATAGAATATAACTACATTCCATATGGTTGATAATACTTTTGTGAAGAAGAAGAAGAAGAAGAAGAGCAAGAACAAGAAGAATCATCATACTTTTCTTATTTAAGATGTCTAAATAGTAATGCAAATCAAGTATCAAATAAGTATCATAGTGTACTGAACGAGAATACACAAGTGAAGATAAGCGAATGTAGTTGAATGCAACCATAACAGAACATGTTAGTCGAATCTAAGAATCATACAGTAAATTCTTCATTTGTAAAATGTCAATTATTCGTCTCAGATTTCATTGTTCTTTCGTTTCCACATCAATCATGCTTTGTTCACATTCTCTTTCCTTCGATCTTCTTAACCTTCTGCTTCTAGGTATTTCACTTTCGATTGATGATATATACTACTTATATCTGTCGATATCAGTATTTATTTAGTTAGTTAAACACATAAACATAGGTACAAGGCGGCACTAAATAGATATGCGCTACATAAATTATCCGATTTATATGAGGGCTGGAATACTATCCGGATGTCCAAACTGAAGCAGATGGTTTCTTAAAGGGCCAAACCCTGAGCCTTTCACTTAAAAGAATAATCTACAACACAGTGGAGCAACGTAGAGAGATCCAGTCTTATGGTAGCCGGTGACCAACAATAATTTCACATGCCATTTGTTCCTTCAAGATACTGGAGACCATGTGGATTATTGGTTTGGAATCAGGGTTTTTCAAACTCCCCTAAATAGATTCTTTATATCCACCAACCCGCTTAAAGAGCCAGACATCCGCTTTTCATCCTTTCGATTTCTTAAACAACATTAATGCAGCGAGAAGGCAGTGAGTAGGACTTCTCTGGCAGTGACTGTATGCACATAGCCATATGGGAGCACACATTGCAATAGTAATATTCAAATAGACATTCGTATATAGAAGATTTAGTTTTCTTCACAGATGTAGCTTTTATTGGGTGGTCATAATTTATGTTAGTCCAAGCATAAGAATCCCCATTAAAAACAAGATGCATATTATAATAAAGATTAACATTGAAAGGATAATACAGCTTTTTTTAAAGCATTCAAATTTCGTCAGCTTAACATCTATTTCTTTGTCTCTACGATCAATCATACATAAATGTTTAATGCAATAGTTTACTTTCAACGAATACTGTGATACTTTGAAACTACCAACAATGTTTCTATTGATTGAGATCGTAAATCGATTGATGTTAGACCATTATTGAAGACCTAGAAGTATTGGACAGCTGTTTCGTCTTAGTATGAGACTAGTGAGTAGTACTCATCCACGATCTCACACGCGGGATCCTAACCCTAGGGCCTTCGAGTTCACTTAACCTCTAGACCATTGAACTGACATCGAATAGTGTTAATCTGCCTAGATCATTCATATTTCTATCTGATTTTAATCATATTCATTATTTTAAACAATCTAGGTTGGAATGTTCAATGGTGTAGTTTTCATTTATGATGTAAGGAAAAATGATCCTCTCCCAGTAATCGATACTACGTGAGTATTTGTTTGTTTTTTAACGTAAAGTTCTTTATACTTGATCAGGCTACCATAAAAAATATATAAAAAGACGATAACTGAATGAAAGATTATATTATAAGGATGAAATTGTAGTGTGTGCTACTGATGTCAACTGATATAAGTAGTGTGTATGGTCAATCGACAGTGAAATATCCAGTGGCAGAAGATTGCGAAGATCGAGGAAAAGAGAACAAGAACAGAAAGTGATTGATATGGAAACGATGGGACGACAAAATCTGAGACAATCGATTGACATTTTACCAATGAAGTATTTACTGTCTGTTTCTCAGATTTGACTAAACTTTTCTGTGTGTGTGTGTTCAAATATGTTTGGTTCCTCCCTCGCTTTGTGTTCTCGTTCACAAGAGAATCTCTTTCAGGTTAATATATGTCCGGGCTAACTAATAGTTTACTTGCTCATAATAGTAGTGTGCTTACACTTGTATCCCTTATTTACTGTTCGATCTTCCAATAGCTTTTAATCTCTCTGGCTTTGAAACAGCATACAATCTGTCTGGTTTATACCTATTTACCACTTCCCGCTTCTTGAACAATCTTTCTCTTCATATTTGACTTTGAGAACGTGTTCAGTCACCGGAGATTCTTGAAACTTCTAGAACATTTATGTGACATTTATTTTATAGAGCGAATACTTTTAAAAAACAACAGAACATAGGGATAAATCTTACTGTGTTAGCATTAATAAGGTCAATTATTCAGAACTATTTCTACTATTTACGTTGGCTATTAAGCTTTATTCTTGATCGCGATCATGAATCTATCAATGTTAGACCACCATTGAAAACCTAGAATTACTGGACGGCTGTTTTGTCCTAATGTGTAACTTCTCAGTATTGCGCATCCATGGTCACTCACGTGGGATTCGTATTCAAGTCCTTCGGTTTGGCTTGCGAATGCTTAACCTCTAGACCACTGAACCATCCAGCATCCAACGTTGTTAATGTCTAACTTCAACCATTTCATGAGATTGCGCAACCATATTATATTGTACTGAGCTTCATTCTCTCCACTAGACAAACTGGCTTCACTTTTGTTGGATACGATAACAAAATGACTGAACTACTATTCTTAAGTTATCCTAAGTGATAGGATTCGACTTAACGACTTCATTAATATAGTGATTAGTCGGATAATGAAAATGAATTAAGTGGATATAAGATGTGTAATTAGTATGAAGTAGTTATCCATGAATTAAGTGGATTTCATTTATATACATACATATAATTATGTCATAAATCGTAATTCTATTCCAAAGCACTTTATTCTTTCTTCTAGACATGCTTCAGGAAGACATTTAGGACCTGTACGTAAACTGCAATGGATTTTTAAAGAATCAGGTTTAGCGGAAAATCTACAGGAAGTTTTAGTATCAGTATCTAACGATGGTCGAGTAACTCAATGGTTTATACGTAAAGGTTTTGAAAGTGCAGGTATATTTTCATTTTTTGTTGTTGTTGATATAGATATAGATATACTCAGTACGGATACAGAAGGCTCGATTAGCTTTTGCCAACTTGCGTCATTTATGAAGTAGGCGGGCTATCTGTCTATCAACCAAAGGACGTGTTTACTGCGTAGCAGTTCGTTCCGTCCTACTTTATGGCAGTGAAACATGGCCGGTAAGAGTAGAGGATATTCTTAGGTTACTAGTATTCGATCATAGGTGTCTTAGAAACATTGCTCGTATATCCTGGGACCATTGAGTAAGTAACGCAGTTGTTAGGAAACGGGTACTAGGTGAGGATGGCAAATCAATTGATGAAGTAGAGAAACTTCATCAGTTGAGATGGCTGGGACACGTGTTACGTATGTCCAACCACCGACTGTTCCGACGTGTGATGTTTCATGGTATAGCAGTAGGTTGGAAGAAATGTAGAGGCGGTCAGACCAAAACACGGCTCAAGTCCATGAAATCACTGACAAGTGGACTGATTCATGTTGGTAGGTGTAGACTAACTGGTTGGGGACCGCGAGATGATAGCAACCGATGGTTAGAGACATTGAATGACATGGCTCAAAATCGCTTGCAATGGCGCAGGTGCATACACTCTTTGTGTTCTCTCAAATTTTGATCTCCTTATTCCTCTTTTTCTCTTTTTTCTCTTCTCAAATATATTTCACTGTATTATACTCTTTAAATAACATCTCCAAACCCTAATCTTCCCGATTGCTGCTTATACTCTTATTACCTCTACTACTACGGGATTTGAATGGACAACTGCATCTCTGTGCTAATTTGGTATGGCAACTCGAACTGATGTATGTACTTACGAAGTTCTACGTTGTTACTGACTGACTGACTGATGCTCTCATTTCATCCCAGGTTAAAGTCTCTACAACACTACTCCTCCGTGACCCTACATAGTAGTTGGATTGTAATCGTGAATAAAACAATGTTAAGAATATGAAGTGATGGATACAAACTCAGTAGTTTAAATTAATTAAGCTTCCTACGATATTTGAAGTCTTTATCCGTAATCATCTGCATAGTTGCGCGTGTACAATGTCGAGGTAGAATGAAATACATATCTATATATTGTATGGTCAATCATGAACATGCATAACTTCTAAACATAAATTTGAGGTCATTTTCACCATGGAATCACACAGAAACAAGAAAATCTGATTGCTTCTCTCATCCTCTTCTGGAAGCCTATGCTGCAATCTGGGGTCGAAATCAATGTCTCAAAATCACGCTGGGGGCTTGTTAGCTTTAAGCCACTACTCTGGCATCAAATGCGTCCTATTTTCAATGTCATCCAATACGCGATATGCAGAAATGATTAACTAATATATCATCATCAGGATAGTTAACTTCATACATGGTTGAATACTATGACCCATGACATCTAACCTTGGCTTCATGAATTTCTATTAAAGCTATTAATTAATAGGTGCATGACTGGTCAGTTACGAAGGTGCATCATAGATTCACTGACTTCAAGGGGGTGATTTTTTTAGTTTTAATTCTAACTACTTATAAAACATAAGTAGTGCAAAGACAGTGTAAAATCTTCAGGGTTCGGTTTGTTCAAAACATAAATCTCCCTTAAAGTAATAACAATTCAAAAAAATCTTTGTATCAACTAATACAATATGCAAATAGAGTATTTGCCATTCCAACCAATCAGATCATTGCTGCTAGGTCCCATCTCAGTAAAGGAAATAGCTTTTTTTCCTACGATATTTGTATCGATTACCAATGTTCATTTAAAAGTTTTTTTTCTCTATTAGATCTGATGGTACTTAAACAATCATATTCAAATGTTCTAACACCGATGAATACATCTCAAAGAAATGAAGCTTTAATATCACGAACAGCTTTTGCCACGAGTATGACTTTTAATAAACGTGAACTAAATATGTAAGTTCAGTAGTGTATGTCAATATTGAGTTAGTATCAGAAGGAGTTTTGTGCAGATTGTAGTTGAGATCATGAATCAATTGAAGCTAGACCACCATGAAAAACCTGGAAGCATTGAACGGCCGTTTCTTCCTCGAGACCGATAGGTCCTAGGTTTGAATCCCGCGAGGTGGTGTCGTGGAATATAGAACGTATCACGTTACTAACCTTCGTTTTATATTTATTGAAATATATCAACAAAAAACATATGTCAAACAACCAATACAAAAATTAATTAAACATCACCCTATTACATAAGCCGGTGTCTGTCTGAACTCAGTAGCTACGTAGATAACTCGATGACGTTTTCAAGCGTACAGTAATGGTTTCCAGTCCCGAAGTGAACATCAACTCTATGATGTAAGTACATCTAGCTGACCAGTCCCAAATAGGACGAAACAAGTATCCTCGATTCTACTGTTAACCACCATCCGTCTTTAATTAGAATGTTCGTGATTTAACTCAATATTGAGGCCATCCAAACATCATGCACATATGCCAAAAAACACACTGATCAATTGTAGTTCAAAAGAACTATCGGAGGATTTAAACAACCAATGCAGAAGTGAACTGGAAACTTCACGACATTGCACAAGTTAGTGATCATCTGAACTCATTAGCTTAGTAGATAACTCGATGAACAGTAATGGGTTCTAGTCCCAAAGTGAACATCAACTATGGGATGTAGATACATCCAACTGTCCAGTCCCAAATTACTTTAACAAATAAACAAACTATTCACATTTATTTATTAATATAGACTTGTCCTACATATGAAAAGACTTAATCAAGCTTTGTTACTTTCTTTTCATATTAAAGTTATGTTGTTGGCACTGAGAATGGATCAATTTATAAATGTTCATATTCTTATAATGAACAATATTTGGATACTTATATTGCTCATAGTGTAAGTCGAACTACATTTATATTCTGATCATTTAAGCTTATTTTCATTAGTACATATGTCTATATGCAGTTTAGTGAATGAGAACACAAATGGGGAGAACCAAATGTATTTGAATACGAATATAACAGAACATCTTAGTCAAATCTGAAAACCATGTGGTAAATAGTAATGGGTAGAGGCTAGCAGTGGAATGAAGGACGCGCGTTCCGTCCTATTTGGGACTCGTCAACTGGGGGTACCTGCACCTGAGGTGATCCCCACCCCGGGACTCGAATCTAGTACCATCCGCATTAAACGCCATCGTGTTATCCACTCAGCTACTGAGTCCTGCTATCCAACTGCTTGTGCAATGGGGTGAATTTGAATTCACTTGGTATTGTTTGGCTTGTATCTTCCCAGCACAGTATGCACATATGCCAATAACAGACTGATCAATTGTAGTCTTAAACCTCAATGGGAAGATACAAGCCAAACAATGCCAAGTGAATTCATATAGTAAATACTTCATCAATCATCTCAGACTTCATTGTTCCCTTGTTTCCACATCAATTATTCTTTGTTCTCGTTTTTTTTCCTTTAATCTTCTTAACCTTCTGCTGCCAGATAGTTTGTACTTGACTGGTGATATGTACTACTTATATCCATCGACATCAGTAGCATACACTACAATAGTACGTTACTAGTATTTATATATATATCTTTATTTAAAAGTGAACAACCGTTTCAAATTCTTTTTACAGATCAATTGTTTCTCAATTCATCACATCACAGTCTTTCAAGTATGTAGATTAAGAAAATTGGATAATGCCTAAGTTGAAGAATAAACAAATACATAAAATCAGAAGGGGTTTTGTGGAGATTTTAGAAGTTTCACTGATTGAAATCATCAGTCAATTGAATCTAGACCACCATGGAAAACCTGGAAGCACTGGAATCTCGTGGGGTGCGGTATGGTGGATGCGCATTGCTGAGGAGTCCCATACTAGGACGAAACGGCCGTCCACTGCTTCCAGATTTTTTATAGTGGTCTAGATTCAATCGACTGATGATTTCAATCAGCGAAATTTCTAAAATCTCTACAAAACCCCTTCTGATAATAATCATCTGCTCACTAGTGACTGACTTCAGGAGATACTCCTGGAGTTCTAGTGAGAAGCCGTTACCAGTGGAGTTTAACCATGTCTGTTGTGAGATATCAGTTCACTGAAGAAAATGATGTACGGTGGCGCAACTTCGTGAATACATAAAATGTTCTTAGTTTTGTAAAACTCATAGATGTGGACTGCTGAAGGGTTTCATACTGTGATGAAACGGACGTCCAAAACTTCCAGGTTTTCAATGGTGGTTTAATATTGACTCATTCATGATATCAATCTAAAATGTGTGAGACTATAATTAATAGGACGAACCAATCAGATTTAGGATAACAGGTCTTGGATTTCGGCGCGATATTCATTCACCCATTCATCCAAATAGCGTCTTAACATTTTAGCTGATATCAGTTCATGATGAAAACCATAAATCTAAATCTTAAACCTTATCATCGACTATAAATCACTATCTTTATTACTCAAACTGCTTCATAACCTTCATTTAACCCTATTAAGTAGGTAGACTTTCTCAAGGTCACTTTGGAGTCGCTCAAAGGTCGTCCATAAGTTATAGTCTCACCAAATCACCCTTATGCTATATATTTTTTGAAAATAACCGAGATTATACACTTGTGTTTAGAGAGCCTTTAACGATGAATTCTACATTCACTCACATTCACTTCTAGTTTTGGTAAAAGTTTGGATGATACCTACGATTTGAGCGCAGTAGTTGCCAAGGAATAACTTCATTTGGGGTTTGATTGGAAACCTAGTGTCTCTGTTCAACCGTTTCACCCTAATATGTGGCTCCTCAATGACGTTTACTCTTGAGTCCACTGTAGACCTATTCCTGAACCTCCTGGTTTCATGAATGGTTTCTAATTATTAAGTCGAGATCTAGTGGTACATGTTTCTAACTTTAATTAATTAATATTATAATGGAACAACCAAATACCGATAAAGACTACGATCTTGCTTTTGAAACTTGGACTTTCCGAGTTCAGTCCTTGACGGGGATGTAGTTTTACACTTTTTCGTGACTCCATACTAATACTAAACAACCCTTAAGTGATCCTCTGGTACCCAAGTTAACGTCAGTCTTCAAAGTAAACTTTACCCCACAAAGACATATCATATGTACTAGTAACTGGCTACAGGGAATACTATAGTTCATTGTTCCTCTTTGTAACTATTATCTTGTTAGGTTGCTACAAGGTGTACTACCAGACAACATTTCATATCCCTATTCATACTTGTGTATTTATCTGTTCATATTCACAGTTACTTACTTACGCCTGTTATTCCCAATAGAGCATAGACCGCCGACCAGTATTCTCCAACCCACTCTGTCCTCAGCCTTCCTTTCTAATTCTATCCAATTGTTATTCATTCTTCTCATATCTGTCTCCATTTCACGGAGTAATGTGTTCTTCGATATTCCTCTTCTCCCTTGGCCTTAAGGATTCCATGTGAGGTCTTGCCTTGTGACTCATTTCGGTGCTTTCCTCAATATGTGTCATTCACTTCCAGCACTTCTTTCTGATCTCTTCATCCTATGGGATCTGGTTTATTCTCTCCCATAGTAGGTTGTTGCTGATAGTGTCTGGACAACGGGTCCAAAGTATTTTGTATAGACAACTGTTAATAAACACTTGTATCTTCTGGATGATGGATTTCGTAGTTCTGCAAGTTTCCGCCCCATACAGTAAAACTGTCTTGACATTTGTATTGTATTGAAAATTCTGACCTTGGTGTTGGTTGACAGACAGTTCTTTAGAGTTGCAGATATTCTTCAATTGTAAATATGCTGTTGTTGCTCTGCCGATCCGCGTCTTCACATCTGCATCAGATCTACTGTGTTCATCAATGATGCTGCCTAGATATGTAAAAGATTTTACATCTTCCAAAGCTTCTCCATCAAGTATGATTCAATTGTTGCATTCAGTGTTGTATAGGAGAATCTTGCTTTTCTCTCTGTGTATATTGAGACCTACTGCTGTTGAGGTTTCTGCTAGACCGATCGTCTTCTCCTGTATTTGTTGTTGTATGTGTGATAGAAATGTCAGATCATCTGCTAAATTTAGATCGTCCAGCTGCATATTCACAGTAATTTCACTTAAATGTGCAAACGAATTAACTACTCATAAGTAGTATATGTATAGATATCCCTAACATAAGTAATTGTAATTATTCTAGAAATTTTATACCTAATCATTACTACTAATTTGATTTCGATTATTTCTTTCTTTCCCTTTTTTTGGGCTCTAATTACTTTTCCATACATTTCTAATCTGGTAAAATCATTAAAATCATAAATTTTAGTGTTTCTCCTATTAGCTTACCCTTTTTCCCCTATGGGTGGATACAGATTCATTGAATGACTTTAGTTCTCTTTCATTGAAACGTTCTTTTGGAACAAAAAACAATAACCATCTGTAAACAACATAAAAAAGTAGTCAATTTAAGAAGAAAATCTTTGATCACTACTTCAGTCTATTTACTTTGAAAGAAAGAAATGAAAAAATCGTCAAAGATATAACGTACACTTGTTGGAGAAGATTTGTAGTTCAGGAGGATTATTTTGATGGAGTTTTGTTTACTGAACTGGATGGTTTAGTTGTGAAGCTTTCATTGTTCTTCTAAATAACATCATCAGCATCAGAAACTTCAGGGAGAAGTGAAGTATTCGAATTTCTCCACATATGATTCACAGTTTGTCCTGTACACCTCAATGTTGATTAGTTCTTGTTCAAAATATCAGTCAATCATCTCAGACTTCACAGTTCTTCGATTTCTCTACCAATCATTCTCTTTTCTCGTTTTCCATTCTTCGATCTTCTTAAACTTCTGCCACCATGTATTTCAGTTTCGGTTGATGATATATACTACTTATTTCTGTCGATATCAATAGCACACATCATACTCGTCCCCTCTTCAAAGCAGTCGTTCTTGTGATGGTTTTGCTCACCGTGCCACGTTCTTCTTCTCTGAAGTTTGTGTCACGCTCTCAGTCGAGTCCACAGCGCTTTGACCATCGTACCTCCGTCGACCTTCTAGGCCATCAAAATCCAACGTACACCCAGCACCCGGGATGTTAAACACCTGCGCTTCAGCGATCTGCTGAGCCATCTACATTCGAGGTCCACCCAGCAGTCGAATGTCCCACCGCTCTTCTCCGTCGACAACACTGGCTACAGCTAACGCCGCCAGTCAGAACACTTTACTTGACGTTATCTCCATTGCACCAGACCACTCTAACTAGCACCTTGGCCCCAGGTTCTCAATGCGATTCGCAGAACAGCACCGTCTCACCCTCCTGATTGTCAGCCACACCAAATGTAGTGAACGAGAACACTAGTGAGGACAATCGAATATATGTGATTACAAAAGTACAGAACATCTTATCATACAGTAAATACAACACTTGGAAAATGTCAACCAGTTATCTCAGACTTGACTGTTCCTTCGTTTCCACAGCAATCACTCTCTGTTCTTGTTCTTATATCTTCGGTCTTAACCTACTGTTTCCAAACATTTCACTTTCGATTGATGATACCTACTACTTATATCTGTCGATATTAGTAGCACATACTACAATATGACTTTAGAGAAAATTGAAAATACACAAATTAAATTGCATTTACAGTTTGTGTTTTTTTTATTCATTTAACACATTGTAAACTCATTTCATAATGTTACTTTCACATTTCACATTTCACATTATAGTAATTCATTCATTCATATTAATCACTGGTAATAATTACTACCCAAGGGATTCATTTGTTTCTTCCCAATTAAATAAAAACATTTTGTTTATTGAATAAATGGGAAAGACTTTTTCTTGTGCTTGAGTGTTTGTGTGTGTGTGCTTTGATGAAAAGAATGAAAGTAGTTATCATAGCATAAAAT